CAGGTGCATATATGTGTTTGGAGTCGGGATTAGTCGGGACTGGTCGGGGTCAGTCGGGGCCACTCGGTTAGCTCACTGACTGACAATGGTTATATATGCTCCACAGATTAATGTCTGCGTCCAGGTAGTAGATCAACAGAAGACGACGTTTGCTGTGCGTATCACCCGTTGCCGACTAGAACATAATCATCGTCTGACAAGCCAGGCTTTCCCTTCACATCCATCGAAACGCGTCGTGCTCGACATTTCAATGTTTATGACAGTCGATCTGCTGCGAAAAAAGGGTGTCTGGAAGTCAGGTATCATCAGTCACCTAATGAAGCACACCGACAGTAACCCCACTCCGAAAGATGTGCAAAACCTCGTCCAGAAACTGAAGGCTCGCAAACAACGCGATGGGCCGTCAAGCACTGACAAGCGGCTTAAGAAGTGGATGAAGCAATTGGGTGATGTGCCTGCGAACGTTGGTCGGGTTTTCTTGGACGACGTTGGTGGCAAGGTACAATAAATGCTTTTGTAGGGTCTAACATCGATTGACGAGGTTAACTTTTGCTGTTTTGTGAGCTATTGAATACACAGAAAGTGGCGACTTGCATCACAATACAAACAAAGCATTTGAAAACACTATTCAACCAATTTCCTGAAGTTCTGATGATTGACGCAACGCACGAGACGAACCGGTCTAAGTATAAAGTTTTTTCGTTCATGGCGCACGATACGTTCGGCAAGGGCCAGCTTGTGCAGCACGCGCAGCTTCAAAATGAGCGCTACGAAACCCTGTTGACGGCGATAGAGGGGTTCAAAGCGAGCAACCCTGCGTGGTCAAGACTTCAATGTGTGCTGGTGGACAAGGATTTCACAGAACTGTCCGTTCTTCAAAAAGCATTTTCTGGGATGACAATCTTACTTTGCCAATTTCACGTTCTGAAATACCTGCGCAAAGAGATTGCTTCAGCTGACTATGGATTATCGAGGTCTCAGAAAGAGCAGCTTGGCGGTGTTTTGAGCTTACTTGTCTAAGAAAAAACGGAAGCAGGGTACGACAAACCCTTCCAGTACATGGAGCATCTTGTGTCCATTAGTTATGCCGCTCCAGTTGCTAAATATCGATCTGGTACCGTAGTCGGTGTGGAGTCGGCTCAGTCGGTGTGGAGTCGGGCTCAGTCTGTGTGGAGCCGGGATCTGTCGGTGTGGAGTTGGGACCCGTCGGTGAGTCAGAGGTCGCAGATCATGGACTGGAAGATAATGCTGATCGTGTTGATGCGCATCCCTTTGTGAAGTACTTACAAAAGAATTGGGACAGTTGCCGGGAGCTCTGGTGTGCACATATGCGCCAGAATACTGTCACACTCGGCAATTATACCAACAATCGTCTAGAAGCCTCTTGGAAGCAGCTCAAAGAATGGGCTGATTCGTTTATGGGAGTGGATGAGTGCATCGCTTCGATCATGTACTATCAAAAGTTACAAGAGCGGTTGTTCGTTGCAGAAGTATACAAGAATGTGACCGTCCAGCATCCAGATAACGGCAGCGAGATGTCCCCGGTGGCGAATATTGTCAGCGAACATGCTTGTGAACTTATTTTCGGGCAGTATTCGTATGCCATTGGATCTGCGTCGTACGTGTTTTATGAGGGGTGCCCAGATGTGTATTTTATCAAGAGTGTATCTACAGCTGATGACGCGTTGGACGCGATGGACGCCGAGTATTCAGTTACCAAGCGCTAATGGAAGTGCTTCTGTCTATTCATGTGCACGAGACTGCTACTGTGTCGACACGTTTTCTACCTCCGAAAGGCTCTTCGCCGGGAGACAATAATCCCCACACTACTGTTAAACAAACGGTGGCTGTTGTCTACTGTGCGTGCGGCGATTGAAAATACGACTCTCGTCTCTGACACAGCGGAGCCAAAGTCTTTCGAGGTAAACGATGTGATAACCTCACATACGAGACCGTGGGATTCGAACCGCAAATATCGCGAAGCACTGCCAATTGCATCCCAAATTTGCGACACCATGGCGGGGATCGGCTTGACGCAGTATAAAGAAGCGATGCAGTACCTTCAGGAGAGGCAAATTTGAGGATCCCGGTGGGCCGGTTTCAGCACCAGCCAAACCCTGAGCGTCACGGTTCGACCAGCAACTCGTGGGATGATGCGATGTCGCTACCACTACTCTCTGGGCATGTGTTCGATTGCACGGCTGGCTCACCACGTGTCTGTGTCTGACCATGACTCAACCTGCAGCTCCGGCGAAGCAACCCAGGTTGAAGATCCATCGGGCCAATCCGGCCCAGTCGGGGAAGAATCAGTTCCAGTCGGGGAAGAATCGGGTCCAGTCGGGGAAGAATCAGTTCCAGTCGGGGAAGAATCGGGTCCAGTCGGGGAAGTATCGGGTCCAGTCGAAGAATAATCGGGTCCCGTCGGGGATGCTGAACTAAGCACACTACCATCAACAACGGAAGACACGCCATTTGTGATAGCGAGCCCTCCAAGATCGCGAGGACGGCCAAGACAGACAGCCAGATCAAAGAAGGCAGCTCGTAAAAAATCTGTTACTGTGGCTCAAGAAGATTCAGAGCTGTACGCTTTAAACGTAAGCTTGGCTTCCGTAAATGCAGCGCTGTCTACGGATGCAACATACATATCGTCGGCTGCAGCTGTCAACAAGCTCAAAATGGTGGAGTATGGCTTCAAGCTCAAGACACCCACAGCACGAGCAGTATCGAGCTTGTCACCTACAAATTCTTTAATACCAGCAGAGTCGATCAGGCGCATATTGAGTCCTGAACAAATTGCCATTTGCATGAAATGTTTTTCGGATCTGCAGTCGAAGCGCAAAGGGTTAGCAAAGCGTGCCGTGGCACTGGATATTCCAGGCTTTGGTGTGTACTCTACAAGTACAATTGGGGTCATGAAGAGGTTGCACATGGCAATAAAGGTGGTAAAACAGGTCGAGAAGGCTGTGAAGTGGGTCGAAACTATCGACTTCACACTCCCGATGCCAGCTTCGTTTCAAGTGGTTCTACAGACGGATTTGCTGTCAAAGATGGAATCAATCCCTCTTTTGTCTGCAAAGGTACGCTGACAAAATCATGCTATTCACTACAACACTTTCTTACTTAGCGTTGTGTTTGACAAGAAGACAGAAACCCTAGATCTCGTCGGAAAGAAACAGCTAAGCGACGATACCATGAATATCATCTTGTCTAAGCTGTTTGGAGAACAAAACGATGTGGTGATCGTGGATCCAGGTGTTATCGGTTCCATTGACAATAAAGAAAGCCCTGTCAACACCAGAGCCTTCGCAATAATTTTGGCGGGCAAGACGAGCGAGAAAATTCTGATCCCTATATGCTGCGGCAACAAACATTGGTGCTGCGTAATGGTGAGCTTGTATCTGCCTGATGTGTGCATCTATGACCCAATGGGCTCGAGCTATGTCGTTACAGTCCGAGCGATCGCAGAAAAGCTGATAATGCAACTGCCAAACTACGCACCAAGGAAATATCGAGTACACCACTACCAGAACGATCTAGGGGCTCAAGTAGATTCATACACTGTGGTATGTACAGTATGGTCTGCTAGTGTTTGAGATGTTTGCTAGTGCCCAAGGTCCTGTGCATGTTGACCAGGAAGGAGTTACAGTATCTGCGCTACAGATACATGAATTTGTGTCTTTAGCTAACTTCTTCAACAAGTTGGTTTTGATTCTGCCCTTACCAGCCCACTGAGATCTCCTCAATAAAGTTCGTCATGCATAGTGTCGGCCGCACTTGCGCGCTCAAAAGACGAAGTCTTCACTTTCGGATATTGATCATCTGACTCTATTTGTGTCGGGCATGGTCGGTACTGGTCGGGTACCGTCGTGCACCATTAGCCTGTCTCTTCCACACCAGTCGGGCTAAATAGCAAGTGCCTTTGACCAATTACATCTATTTATTTACAATCCAACAAATTTTAGATCTCGCAAAGGTGAAAATAAATAAAACAAGGTGTGTAAAAAACAGTTCATTATAAAATAAAAGATACTAATTTTGAGTAGGTGGCGCCTTCATTTTTTTAAAGTGTCTCCTGGCCCTTTTTGAATATCAAAGGATCACAAGGCAAAGAGGCTGGAAGCACTCAGTTGCGAATGTGGTGCTCCGAAGCTCGGGGGGGGGTTGTATGTATTTTCTCCCCCACAGGCAATGACAGATTCTGGTATTTTTTTTTGTGCTGTCAACAAGCACTCATTTATAGTCTTACTAGGAAGATCACAGTAAGCTTTTTCAGCTGCCGCAATTAAAGCATCGATCTTGTACGTTTATGTGCGGTATTGAACCGACTATAGCAAGTTAAACAGACCCAAGTCGAGTACGTTCATATCGGGCGACTTCGCTGGCTGGTATTTGATAGCGATGTTGTGCGCTTTGGCTGCTGCCGCTAGAGCGATCAGACGGCAGCACATCATGCTTATCTGCACAGCTGACACGTATTATGTAGCTGTCAGCCACAATTTAGAGAATAGCAAATCTCTATTCTTAGTCTAATAATAGCCAGTGATATCATTTATTTTTGTGCGGTCGCTCGTTGCGTTAGATTTGAGATGGAACAGAGTAGTAGTTTTTTGGACTGATTTCGCTGCCACATGGAAAACTCATTTCTTTCAGCCAATCGTATGATTAATATCATTGTTTTGTCTAATTAAAGACCAAAAGTGGACCACATTAAAGGAGGTTAAATTAAACTTTTGATTCTTTTTAAGAGTACACGTAGTACCAGTTTTGGCACACGGGGCCTGCGAGGCTTGGCCAAAAATGGGTTTAAATCAGGGGTTTTGACAATTACGCCAAGTTGTTTGCCTAAAGACAGTGGCTTAAATTGTTTTAGAGGTTACCATTATTTATAAAGTCTGGTAGGCGGCGGTTTACCCGAGAAGGCTTAAACATTAAAACAATCAAACAACAGCTCCAATCCTACCAGTCTTAGCCTTACTCCGCAAAGATAAGCACGAGGAAGAATGAATCGTCCAGGAAGGCCGTCTGTCCCTGAGCGCAACCACTTCATCGAGCTCGATGAGATTACGCCTGCCAAAGGAGGCTGCAAAATGTGCGTGTGCAAGCACTGCAGCAGGGCGTACTCAAAGGGCTCACGGAACGATCCTCCAGGTCTTTTTCAAGCTAGGTCACGGAACTACCGCAACCACCTCAAAGGTTGCCGTCACTATCGTTAGGCACATGAACAGTTGGTTGGGGCAACACCACCATTTGCTTCAGTCGGTTCCAAGCGTCTACGCGAATCGCATTGCAATGACAGCAGCCTCGAAGATGACGAACCCAGCCGCAAGCGCATTACCCGATCCCGTTCGCTACCGCCATCCTCAGCTGTCGGTCACAAACGCGCAAGATACTCAGAGGGCATCGATGGTGAATGAGACATGCAGCCACATGCTAAGCGCGCTGCCAGGGCTCTCGAGCTGTCGAATTGCCATAAGAAGCCAGTAGGGCGATTGGATTCTTCAAGAAACGCCACCTCGCCAATTCACAACGGAGGAGACATGGCGGAACTTGACTGCGCTTGTGGAGCTACATGCAGATAACCACTTATCGGACCGGTTTATAGAGCAACTGTCTACGCGCTACTTCTTGGACTTGTTGTGTCCTGGTATCACGAGCATTTTGCCGTCTCTTCGTGCACTTGGTGAACGACTACTTGACGATCACGCTAGACTTTGCTACAAGAAGAATGCCAGTGGTCTGCGGGAGCAGCAGAATAGTGGCGGCCGTGCTAACCCCCTGACCGATGTGTGGTAAAGCGTGTGCAAGGATCATTTAACGGCGAAGAAGTAAAACTTGGTCAATCCGAGCACTTGGTCACGGTCTGGAAGTGCAAAAAGGTCACGGAAGTTACAATTTGGTCACGTTACCAATGCTAACTGGTCACATATGGAAGAATGCATGTAGTTACAAAACCACCGTGTCGGAGATTTCTCAATCTTATGAAACTAACGCAACGCTTCGCATTCGCAATTTTTTAATCGTAATTATGAAACCAACGCAGCGCTTCCCATTCGCATCGTTCCTCACCACAAAGCATTTTGCATCGGCACAACAACCGGTTCTTCTCCTCCACCTACTTCTCCTTCTGCATACCCAACAATACGAATGCCTCGGCGTAGAGCTAAAACGACTCGTCCGCCTCCCATCAACAGGTCGTCTCGCGCTCGACCCGACCTGAACGAGCTCGTTTTTCTCCTATGTCTGGACGAAACACCCGGTCCCAGCAAATCCACTCAAATGAGCCCGATGCCCAAATACTCCCCGACATCCTCGCGCTCGGGACCGGCAACATGCCATCACACGCGGCCTCAGCGCATAATCGTATCGCAGGGGAAACACCCGTCATTGGCCCTCCTACTGAAGCGACACGATCTACCCCAGTACGCGTTGCGGACAATGCTACTGCGGATTCTGCCCAACGGCAGAATCCGCAGTAGCATTGTCCACAACGCGTTCATCACTTTCTCTTCTGACTTGCTTGAGGAGCGCAGAGGATGGCGCAGCCATGATGCACTGTACCACAGCGACAGCCTCACGAAGTCTTTCAGTGTCGAGAACACGCGATGGTAGTACCAAAGTGTACTATCAGGGCTACGCGTATACTCGGGCCAGCATAACAGGGGTCAAGATCTCGTATCGGTGCAGCTCGTATTGCAAAAAGTGCAAGGCAAGCTTTCTATATATGGCCGGAACAGCATCCTTTGATTTTAGTGGTCTCGTACCTCATACATGCCGTTCCAATCCAGCATTACGAGATGGAGTCGGCTTACCGGGTGCTAACCTCTGCGCAGATGTTAGCGAGGCTATGTTGCAGGATGTTGATCAGCTAGCAGTTGAAACAAATATGACTCAGGGTGATATATGGTTTCACGTTATGGAGAAATATTACATGCAGCCAGGACCTCCAGTTAGGGGTGTAGCGAAGAGCGCAGTCGAAAACCGCGTGAGGTATGCTCGCGGAAAACAATCCAGTGGTAACCGCAATCGCTCCGTTGAACTCCCTCCAATGTCAAAAGTGAGGGGGTCGATGCAAGGGTTTTTCCAGTTTCAGTACGCTTGGCATGACAATATCAAAGCTCAAAAAGAATTTGCTGGCGTTGATCGTGTCATAGCATGGGCTCACCCTGAACTACGCAATTTGTTGCGTTTCGAAAACCTGTCATGGTTTGTAGATGGCACGTTTCGCTGTGCCTCTACTAGATACAAGCAGTGCGCCACAATAATGGTTTATGATCCTTCAACTGAGCTATACGTTCCAGCTATCTTCACCCTTACTACGTCCATGCAGAAGGAAATCTATATTAAGCTGCTACGCTGCACCGAGGATTGTGTTGGCCGGAAACTCACTCCTAAAGAAGTCATGTGTGACTTTAAGAGCGCACTTATCAGTGCGATTCGAGACTTCTTTCCGGAGGTCCGTATAATTGGCTGCTTGTTCCATTTCAAGCAGGCGTGCCGCCGAAAGCTGAAGGAATACAAGGTACCACGAGTTGAGGCCAAGTTAGCGATGGCGCCGAACGTCTTTGACGTTCTAACTGTTATAGACCCTAGCAAAATCGATGTTTAAGGAATCGTTTGGGTCAAGAACAAGATAAAAATAACATGTGATGTCAAACAAGTGAGCTACTCTACAAATAAATGGCGTAAATTTTGGCGGTACTTTCAAAGGACCTTGCTCGACATGTTTCCGCCGGCATACTGGAATGTGTACGGCATGAGGCGCGACATTGTTAGTCGTACTAACAACCATCTTGAGAGATTTCATCGTCACCTGAACGCACGAATTAAAGCTCCACATCCTGCCATGACTCGCTTCGTCAGCACACTTGAAAATATGGCTCGTGAATATGTGGCCCAACGCGTAGCAGTCCAGTCAGGATTAGCAAGACTGCCTCAGCGGACAAGATTCCAGTTGCCACGAGCTCCGCAGCTCCCACGCCTCAGCGACATTGTTGATTCAGACGAGAGCGAGGATGAAAACGAGCAGAGTGGCACGGCTGCGCAGGATTCCGAATCATGTACAAGTGAAATGAGCTCGGAGACAGAAGAAGAAGTCAGGGAGAATGAGGAAGCAGTTGTCGAGCCAGACTACTCTTTCGACTACGATGGTGATGAATTAGCGGTCGTCTAAGCATTTTCTTCGCTAATGGTGGCGTAGTAGAAGTACTTAAGTAAAATACGATACAAATTAAAATACATGTACAGTACTCGTGATCTATCCCTTATAGGTCACATGACCTAAGCGGAATTTGACACATGACCATCTTTTAAGATTGACCTGAAAATCCGGCCACCTTTAACGGGATGCTTATTGACGCTATTCGGCAATTCGCTAACTTACGCCCTTCCAAACGCGAGAGATCGTCATGATGGCCTAGCAATCGTGGAAGCTCGAAGATGATCTTATCCAAGCCCAAACGGAGGGTTGGAATGTTGGTGGAATGGTGACTGATGATGCCGGTCAGTGTAAGCGAGCACGTGATGTTCTCGTGCTTCGATGGCCAAAGATTGGGTTTCTCTTCTCCTTTGCGCACGACATGAACAATCTCGTCAAACAAGTATTGAAGACGTCATTTTCGCAGATTACTCGGAGGCTTCTGCTGCTGTCAGCGCGCTCAATGGATCTTCAAGCAAGTGGCTTAAGCGCGCACGGGATCTTATGGTAAAAATGTATGGGAATCGTTTGAGTCTGTGCTCCCTCTGCATAATCCGCTGGAACTCGATGCAGGCGTGTTTTGCATCCTTGCTCCGTGTGCAGTCGGCACTGCAGATGCTGACAAAACAGTCTCATGGAGACGATGAGTTTCCAACTGCACTCAGTGTGGTCCTACGGGATTATTTCTGGCAAGACTTGAAAAGAGCGGAGCGTGTCATCGCTCCACTGTCGTTGGCGTCGTATAGACTGCAGCGTGATCGAAACACGGTCGGGGATGTGATCCAGTCGTTTGGCGCCATATACCTAGGCTTTAAACAGGCTCCACAGCACCGTGAAGAGCTCGTTGCCTGTGTCGAACAGCGATGGAAGAAGTGCGAGTAGCCGCTCATAATGTTAGGCTACGCGCTCCATCCACGTTACGCTGTCGAAGCCCGGAAGCTCCCGGTCACATCTGTATCCGGCGTTGGCGTGCTTTGCAAGTTTGCGGTCTATTACTACCGGCGCTTGATCAGCGAGGAGATCGAGCAGCTTCGTCGAGACATGTATCGCTGGATGAAAGGGCTTTTGACTTTTACAGCCGCTGACGAGCTCATTGAGTCTCCGTATGAATACTGGCAGTACTTGGCTGATGAACACCCCTCCAGCAAGCTGCCAGATCTGGCACCGAAAGCTCTCTCTCTTGCCGTCAACACGGCAACGTGCGATCGTTTATTCAGCGACTTAGGTCTTATCCATACCGCAAAGCGCAACCGGATGAAAGTGTCGAAAGTGTTGAACACAGAAATCATAGCCAAGCATGTCCGCCAAAGAGCACAGAAGGGCCCAAACAATGATGTCTTCTTGAAGCGCATCGTGGCTCCCGATGAGCGGAAATTTGTGTACGAGGACACTGACGAACGGCGGCTGGTGACTCCACCAATGGAGGCGTCGATGTGAGTCCAGACTCCTATTGAAGGCGATGACAACTTGGAGGATCCAGGTGACTTATCCGACGGGACGAAGACATTGAGACTCTAGGGAGACTTCCTTGACGAGGTATTCGAAGATGATGAAATCAACGATGAGTACACTGCAGCTGACGCACTCAGCGCGGAAGCAGAAGTTAACGAGCTCGAAGCAATTCCAGAGCCGAACAGAACACCTTTTCCAAAAGAGAACCTGCAGACCTTTCCTCGCCAGACAACACTCACTGAAATCCGAAGCTTAAAAGCAACACTGACCGCAATCTTCGGATAACTTCATCCATAATTCAATTAAAATATCCCGTCTTTTTATTAGCCAATGTCACTCCTCGTCATCAGTTACTTGCCCAAGCTGCTCTTCCACCCCAACTTCTTTTAAAAGTACTCAAAGAGGTTCTCAAGGAAGCACACACGCTCTTGAACGCCATCTTCGCGGCGGTGAACCCAAGGCCAGCAAACAATGATACAATGTTCAGGATGACACTCGTCTCTAAAGGGTTCAAAACGACCAACAAAGCCTCCCACGCTGCTTTTGAACGCCAACTTGTGATCATTGTACACCTTTTCCGCCAAGATCAACCAGGCTTTGATCACGTTGTCGATTCCAGTAAGACTTAGAAAGGCGGTTAAATCACCGTAATTGTACCTGAGCGTAGGTGGTAGCGGTCGTGGGCCGCATCGCCGTGAGTGACGCGTTCCCCTGCTGCATATTGGTTTCTGCCTTCTTTCTTCTCAAGTGCTCCAACAATTAGTCGGTGGACGATTGCTTCTCGAACAGTTAGACCATCGCTTGCTTGAGGTCCACCTGCATACACAGCCACCTCGGCCGGCGTGGGTATCCAGCCAGGAGATCTGTCGTCAAAAGGCCGCATTTCCCTTGTGGATATCGTAGCTAATCCGTTCTCACGGACGTCACATATTTGTATGCGCTCCGTCAAAAACTAGTCCTTGCTCGGTTAGTCAGGTGCAAACTTACGCCCCTATGTAGAGCCGTGTCTTGGACACCCAGAAACTACTTCACAAAGCTGGACGAAATTCGCACGACGGCGCCGCATGGCCATCGGTCGAGCCAATCCATGGCGACGTCGTTAATGTGCTCTGAGCAGCAGCAAGCACATACACAGAAGACGGTAGGAGAAGCAGGGAGCTTTATCGAGAGGAAATCCATGAGCGTGTCCATGACGTTTGGAACGACGTTGGTCTTTGCTTCACATCGTAACACGTCAGCGGCCGTCAAAGTATTTTTTCAGATAGACAGAGAGAGTGATCGAAGATTCAGCGGATCGGGATAGCAACATGTCGTTGAGATACACCAGGAAACGCACGTTGACATCTGCGAGTTCGTGGCGAAGGAGATCAACGGTAGTTCCCGCGCACCTGCAACCTTGAACAGCGCGCCAGGCTTTCTCATCGATCTAAAACTGAACACAGACATTTAATTTACATCGAAACCCCCAGGACACGTAAACTCAAGCAAGACCAACGGCTTCCACCAACAATGGGTATGACATTTCCTCCGGTGACGATTGTATCAGATGACATCACACGCGCGTCACATACTCGATAGCGCTGTTAAACCATTCCAAGTTCAATCCCCAGTTCGTGAGTTGAAGTCGCCCATCTGCTCCACCACTACCTTTTTAAAACTTTCGCTGCCGCCACGGGGATCAAGGCGCTGCCGGCTCCAGTCAAAGTCGTCGCTGACGTCGTGAAGATTTTTGCCAGCACTGCTACGCTGTCTTCAGAACATGGAGGAGGAGGGAGGCGGTTGCGTACGTGCCCAGAATCGGGCAGTGTCTTAGTCACTCTCAGATTCTCAGATGACCAACCTCAGACCTGCTAGTTAAACGTAAGGAGTTGGTGTTGATGCCGCTGTCCAGCACTACACGGTTGTACGTGTGGCTCTCGTAGAAGCACTTATCCGAGTTATGCTTGGCATGATTATGGATATCACCAGTCCTGCATCAACGTCATCTATCCATATCGCTCATTGGATGCCGCGGTCATTCAGGTTCAGCGTCTTCTACGCGACGCCTTCCCCACCTCGCTCAAATCCCGACATTTACCCAGCGTGTCACGTTGTGATCTTAGAAAAGTCTCCAGTCCCTAGTAATATTGCAGAGTGGTGTTCTTTATTGAGTTCCTGTAATTGATAGACCTTGAGGATGGTGAATGCATCTTAACACACCAAACGCAGCCTTCTTCTCAACACAGTTTTTACCGTTGGAGCCAACCCACGCCGATAAACAGGTTTTTGGTGAGCAGTAGGGAAATGGGCGTGCCAGTGTACAGGCTTTGAAGTCTAATTGAGCACTTATTTGTACACTATCGTTCTCCACGTCGGGCTCCGCTCGCTTTCAAATGCTACATCCTTCCAGCTCCGCATTCGCTGCCCGAATGCTCCAGTCGTAAAGGAACAGCTTTGATTTCTCCATGAGCTCATACACTCAACAAAGCCACCAGAACTCACTGACATTTTAAAGTACCACGAACGTGACAGTCAAGGTGCGAGCCTGGAAGTGTCTTCAGACATGAGCATTGTCCCGCAGAAGGGGTTCAAACCAGGACTTTTATTGCACACTACTGGACGAGCACCGTCAGCTTCTCCACGAGCTAATACACTCAACATAGCCACCAGAATTCTTGAGATAATAAAACCGCAGGTAGATGAAATTGATTCGGTCGATAGCCGAACTCTCCGATGGCTACAGGCGACGTTCCACCGGCCTGTACTTAAATAACTGCTCCGCGTCCTCGTATCCTTATTAACCCGGGCTTAGTGTACACACGTGCGGCATTCTTGGCGAAACATGAGCTGCAGCTGCTTCGAATTCAGACGAATAAAATACATCGTACTTAGGGAATACGTCATTAAATCTTACGGCTGAAAAAACATCGTTTCAGCCTTTCAGCCTGCGGTTTTAAACTTTCAGCCAGCCAGGCTTTTACCTTTTGGCGTAAAGTTAGGGCTTTTGCCAACACTGGTACAGTAGTACATTGACGATGACATGGCTCCGATGCCCTTTCCAACCCAAAAACGAAAAAGCAACACGCTGCCCACTAGCTCCACACCTGAATGTGCCTGAGCCTATTAATAACTGGACTTTGAATCCTGTGCAACGGGTAGAATGTCTACGGAGAAAAACAACGTCGGGGCCAAGTGCCACTTATTGGGATATTTCCTCAGAAAGATACTACAGTAGTCTAATGCTCTTAAAAGTAAAGCATCCCACCAGAAAAATGAGATCGTCCGGAGCTCGCCAGTGTAGATTTGTAAAAGCTCGAAACATCGACATTCCACAGCTACCCCTATATTGGCGCTGCTGCTTGGAAGCAAGGTAATGACTACGGGGTTCTCTTTGCCGCTTGATACAATATTTTGGCCTCTTTTTGAAGGCGCAATAACTCTGCCACTCTGTTAGGATCCGCTCTGGTATTATCGAGGGCGCCACTGAGACGCTTGAGGTAGTCTCTGACAGCAGCTCGGTAGGAGAGAATGCGTCCTACTAGGAGTCCTAAAGTGTCCTATTGTCCTAAAACCTGGGATAAAAAACTAGCAATTCGGCTCATAAACAAACCGATATTTAGGACAACACAATGAGTTTTAGGACGAAACAAGCCAGGGTCCGCGTGTCCTAATAGGACACTCGACAACTGGACACTCAGCTGTCCTATTAGGACAGACTGCAACTCAGACCACTGTCCTATTAGGACAACACCAAGCCCAACATGTACTGTCCTCAAAACATCCTCAACTGGCCTAGCTAGAAACAATAATCATCTTAACGCCCCTCTCTCCAAGAGCAGCCGACTCTTTGTTGTGCGCGAAAAGCACCTCAACGAAACTTTTCTACTTCAAAGTTTGTGACAATATTTTTAAAGCGTTTCAAAGGATGACGGTCATTGAAGGTCATAATAGCCGCTAATAACGGATGAGCGACTTCAACATACACATAGCAAACGACGGTTAATAATCAGAACGTAACGATATAGGGGGGGGGGGGGCTCAAAAAGCAGCAAAGTACTCGCAAGGGCTACTTGGCTGCAAGTCGATCCGAAGACGCGGTTAGCAAGCGATGGGGGTCTTGGTTAGCGCGGCAGTGTGCTCGGCCTGGTTCGTCGAGTTGTCTGGCGTCGTCGGGGTGTCGACAACAGGTGCGTTTGTGGCAGGCGAGTCCGGGCTTGGAGTCGACGTCGATGAGCAGTTGAACGGCACGTAGACTACCAGGTCGGCCTTCAGGTTGGAACTGACACCGACCGGCAGTTGGCACTCCTCCAGGTTCATGGCCTTCACGTCAGCGAGCAGGGTGTTGCAGGCAGTCGAGGCGCACATCTTGTCAATGGTGGCCTGGTCCGGGATCTCAGTGGTTCGTTCCGCACTGTTAAACGTTCGCGCTCGTGAGCAGAGCGGACAAGACATTGCTTCCGCAGGTGGCAGCAGAGGCCAGATAGACGAGCGCCCTAGCTGCAGAAGGAGTAGCCGCGACGGTCCATGATGCTTGGGAGATTCAGAAATGGTTGGTGTGCCCCAGGACAATAAGTAAAGCCAATGTGAGTTTTAAGTAACTCTTACGTAAATTTACGTAGATAGTCCGGAAAAAGTTATTATTTGAGGTTTAGGACAATCTGGAGGACACAAATTATAATATTCTGTAACGAAGGATTAGTCGCTTATTAGGACACATCTCCAAAATCTCCCTGTAAAATTTAGGACAAATAGGACAGTTTAGGACGTGTCTTAGGACGCATTATCCTACACCAGCAGCTCCATCCTTGGCGACTGGGAAAATCAACGAAGTGTAGTCTTCTTTCAAATTATCATGTCGCCGCACCGTGGTAAATCGAGCAAGTTTTTCGGATGCCTGTTTATTCTTCTGCAGTTTTGCTGTGAGTTTCGAGGCAAACGTAGCAACGTTCTCAGGTAGTCGGCCTTTGCTCTTCTGGAGCTCTGTTGCAAATGCAGCATCGATCTTAGGAACATCATTCTTCTTCAGTTTCGATACAAATGTTGCGACGTTCACGGCAACTTTGTCTGGGTTAGCGACCTCAGAACGGAGACGGCGACCCCCATTCACCACTTTTATTGAGCGCGACGTTCTCGGCAGAGGTGAAGCTGGTGTTGTACACGAACATGGCCACGACCAATGTTGTGAAGACGATGGTGCGCATACGGAAGACGGGTAGGAAATACATGCACTTTGAGACTTTGGCCGGGGGCTTAGGACTTCGGGTAAATTGTCAAATGTGCGGCTTCTCGGTCCCCTCCGTATATAACCTGTGTGTACAGAACATAGTTATGCTCATTTTTTCGGACTCCCAGTGACTGGGATTCCCAGATACATGTACCATGTATTCAATAATAACGAGCGCCATACTGTCAACAAAGTTCGAATATTGCATACCCGGCCATATCTGCTGAAACATATTTAAATAATATTTTTACTTTGCCTCTGAATTTGAGTTAAGAGTGCCCCGTCTGTGACTACACTGTCAGTCTGACAGTGAGTCGGGGAATTCGAAGATTGAATCCAACTTGGATACGGTTTTAGCCGGTGCTATTATTTGTGCTTTGCAGATGGAATGTCCATCCGTTTTAAAGCCTAGATCGAGCATGGTCGGAGCATAAAACCACGCGTAAAAATGAGATGGGAAGAGGCAAGCATCGATTTGTTTTATCTGTGATCTAATAATCATTTCACTACGGCAAAATGGGTCGATTTACAGGATATCGATGTGGATTTGGTGGTTGATCGGTCGATTTGACTGCCGTAGCAGCCAGTCTAGCTAGATCGATGTGTACATTTTATAAACCTCGATTTAATAAAACGACATCTATTATATTTGTTAGGCTAAGTGAAAAGCATTGAAATGCACAATTATAGCAGTGCTATTAATAGTAGCACTGCTACAGAGCTAAAACAAAAACTATTAATAATGTGCTTTGAAGCCATTTTGGCAAAACGAGATTATAATTGCTGGATTAACATGTAGCCGGTGGGGTATTCACGATAGGCAGAGACTTCATGTATTGCCACAAGATGAGTAATGGGTGTCATGAGTCTGCAAATCTCAAAAAGAGGGGGAGTAGGCGTGAATTCTATCACCCTCCTATTAATAAACCCAAACCCAGACCTTCCTCCGAGCGAAGTTTAGCCTGGCTTGGTCCTGAGTTTAAGCTCGCCACGGATCTTAAACCATAGGCGGATTCGTGTCGCCGTGCGTATCGGCTTTCACCCTCTCCTCCCTATTTCAGTCGGGTTACAAATCCCAAGTAACACATTTTGTGATAATTCATGTATTAATTAAAAGTCACTCTCATTCAAGATAAAGTGAGCTCATAGAACCGTAATTTTTTGATGATTTACGGAAGATTGGCAAGAATTCAGCCTTTCGTTTAGGCTTATTCTGGAACAGACGCTGTACGTAGGCATAGCATCCCCCGTAGGGAATGTTTGTCCATTCTATACAGTACTGCACCCCGTTTTCACGCTCTTTGACCTTTGATATACTTCCGGATGTGATGCTCCAAAATCCAAATGAACTATTGTTTGTCAGCTACAATCGGATTTATTTGCAAATTCTATATGGTCTACCCCCGCGAAAACGGGGTGCAGTACTGTAGTTGTTACAATCCCAAGATACAGATGCAGCATCGGATGGCAGCATCGTTAAGATTTGCTCCGCTGCGCGTCGCAAATGCAGTCGCTAATATAACGCTCCTGCGATGAAAAGATTCTCTTCCCTGTAGAGTGAGATGCTCGACACGCAGGAAAGCTCGGCACTGGGCCCGCCTTCCTGCTTTGCGGCAGCCCGCGCGGGCTTTCTGCGGCTACGCGACCTCGCATCCGCTCGCCTGTGTTGGAGGGATGATTTGCGCAGAGTTGTTAGGGCAGTACAGTATGGAGTGAGGACAAAAGTAGAGTGGTCTAGGCGGCCATAGTGGAGAGGAAGTCTTGAGTGTAGAAGGAGAAGACGCTTGTGTTATAAGGAGAAGTGATGAATTATAGAGTCTGGTGTTCTGGAGGGGAGTTACTCTCCACCACAGTCCAGTTATATACGATTTCTCTCTATGAAATAGCACAATTATATTCCACGAGATAGTCATCATCACATCGGAGATGCTTACTTCAACAGCCTCGAATGTGTATGATGCTCTGTCTTTCGGATAGTATTTAATGTACATGTACCACAGGTGGCTGTTTATAACAGTCCTGTTCGTACATGAACATTTACAAGAAGTAGATCTTGTTTTGAAATTGATGATCTTTTTCCTTTGACTTTCATTGTCAGATTTGTCATCTTGTTACCGTTTTGCTTTGGCAGGGACTGTGCTGATTTCTTGTTCTCACTGTTATTTTGGCTACTCAGGAAAACCTTAGAGGATTAAACCTGTTCACCGTAGTGATTGTTGTTATTATCGTTTTAGCTATACGAATTTGTAGCAGCTACTTCAGGAAAACCTTTAATTTTAACGATCACAACCTGTTCGCTGTTTGGTTTTTGCTATTATCGTTTTAGTTATACGAATTTGTAGAAGCTACCTCAGGAAAACCTTTGGTTTTAAGGATCAAAACCTGTTCGCTCTGTTGTTGGCTACTCAGGAAACCTTTGAGGATACACCTGTTCACCGTATTTATCTTTTTATATTTTGTGTAAGTCAAACTCCCATTGGTTTGCTCTTTCATATGTGGATATTTCTTCACAATGTGTGGTTTGGTTTTTGTTTTTCGCTGCTGAGGTCTTATAGAATTGCCTCCCAATTTCATGAAATGGTTGATATCGGTGTTGCAGTCATTTTCAAGCTGTTCTTGCTATTATTATTGAGGGTTTATAAATTTTCAAATATTTTTGAAGAAAGGCTACAGCTTTTAAAAGCATAAATAACATAAAACAGTGTCATCGGTAGCGTACGCATCATATTTGCGGTAAGTGCGCAGGCGCTCGTCGTTGGGGTTATTTTTCTCCCTAGAGGCTCATCGAGTTGTTTCTCGTTTGGAAGTTTATAATTTTGTTTTTACCTCGCAAGCGCTAGCGATAGATTCGCAACTATCGAATTCATTGTAGATGAAATTGATGCAGTAAAACTATAGTTTGCTTTCTGTAGACAGAGGCTTTCGTAGGCTTGTCTTGAAGTCATAAAGTGTTGAATAAATTTTGTTTTCATTATTTTGGTACTGTTATGCTGGAAATGTTTGAAACTTTTGCCAGTGACAATATATGTTAAAGTTTGGCGAATAATGCATGAATAGTTTTTGGCATTGATGCCTCCCAGTTTCATACATTTCCTTTAGTATTTCTCTCTCAACGTTTGGGGTACTCCTTTTTTTGTCGTGCAAGCTAGGCCAATTATGCCTTCCAATAGGCGGCCATAGGTTTCGCAAATAACTTGAGCAGCGCGCGCTAGCTCAGCATCAGCATGGGTAGGCAGGCTGGATGCTCGCGCTCGAGTACGCAGCACTGCGCATGTAAACATGTAAACGTTAGTTACCAATTCATTACTCTACAATTAAAGTCTCATACTGCTCGCATAATACCATAGTACTGCTTTCTCCCAGGAAAACGTCGACTCCGTCAGGTTGCATCCGGGCCGGACGTAGCGGTGCCTGTCGTCAAGACCACGGCTTGACAGGCGCTTGTTAGTCCAGCCTTGGTCTCTTAGCTCACGCCATTCGAATGTCACGTCGGCGTCACGAACTTGTTTGCCTCGCAGCATCTTGGGTCTCCACTTGTGTCCTTGGCGCGCAAAATCTCGAATGAGAAAAAATTTCCCCCGCCGGCGACTGGCCAGCCGTTACCTGTTGAATCTGCTGATGCGTGTCAAATCGTTTGTCTCATTTTTCTAAAAACGGAGGGATACTCTCTTGCCATAGGACTGATCGGGTTATATTATTTAACAGAAATAGATCATTTTGCCAAGAGCGCTTATCTTAAAGTTTGTAAACCCGCTGGAGAGAAAAAAAAATACGCTCTTTACATATTATTTCAAGTCTAAATTGCTGTTTTGTAGCATAATGTTTATCAAAAAAATAAACTGCATTATGCGGCACGCCGGGTTGGATGTGTTTCTCCAAATACCACCACGTCTTTACGATGTGCAGGCGAAAGCAACCATGAATTCGGGTAGCTGTAAGTTCAATATCCATGGTCTTTGTTTAGTCAAATGATATGTGTTAAGCATGTGAATCCGCTCCGGAAATACCGGTGCATTTACCGCATTCTTCATCAGGTTTCAGCTACGCTTTAACAACTTAGCCTGTATCCCTGTACAATTCAATAACGCAGGCTGAGCTTAGGTTTCGACCATGCCCATTCGCGCAAAAATGGTATACCAAGTATCATTCATTTAAACGGTAAGTCAGATTTAAAGGTTTGATTCTGTATTGGCGTCAAACGGGTACAACTACTTTTGGAGATACTTCCACTATGCATCTTCGCCCCCCCCCCCCCTCACCCACTCACTCACTCACCCACATACACTTATGTAGAAACCTGCTTAACAATTATCGCGCTCATACAATCACATTTTCCAGTCGGGTCTGGCGAAAGCAAAAAAAAGTTTGTTGTGCTATTGAAGCGACAGAAATTCCTTCACTGTAAACGACCTCGGCACTCAGCTCTAATTGTCAATAGAGAATGATGCTTTCTTTCTTACATATAGAAAGAGAAAGCTCAATTCAAAATGTCCTTGTTCAATCGTAGTCTGGCGGTGATTAGCTGTTATCGGTCACAAGCTTGTACGCACCGTAGAGAGCCAATCCTCCGACGTTAACGCCGAGCATAACTATGGCGAACTTGCGTAGGCGAGGCCATGACTTGTGGTTTTTCTTTGTGGACTCAGCTATCATAGTCGACAGCTTGGCAAGCTCAGTGTCACTCGGCTTGGCTGCATCCTTGGCAGTAGCGAAGCTGGTGATGGCTTTTCTCACAGCAATCTCATCTCCGTCGGAAGCCTTAATAACGTTGACAGCCTTTGTCAGTGCAGCACTCTCCTTTACTTTCGTGAGAAATCCGCCAGCGATCTTCGCAATGTTCTCGGTGTTGGCCGCCTCCGAGCGGAGACGACGATTTTCGTTTTGTGCGCTGTGGACGGGAGCGACATTCTCGGCACTAGAAAAACTCGTACAGGACGCGACCCATATGGTCACGAGCAATGCAAAAAAGACACTAGAGCGCATAGTTTTGGTCGGAGCTGCAGTTTGAAGAACTCGAGCGTTGTTTAGTACAAGTAAATTCGGAAATGATCGTTCTGAGGGGGAATGCTTTAGTCCGTTTCTTGGCGCATGGTGTCATTGATACATACAAACACATGTTTACTAGCTTACAAAAAATGAAGAACGTTTGGCATCTCTCTACCTGAAGTGTTAGGGGTACAGTGCCATAGTGGATCGACTTTCATCGACATATTTGACTTTGACAGCTTCTCTCCTACTAAACTGATATAGCAGGATTTTAAAAGACACAAGCAACCGATCGTGCTACTACCGGTAGTACCGTATTAATTCTCTTGGCAATGCGATAGATATAATGTATCTACATGTTATTATATGTACCACAAACATAGTTGTTTTCCATCTCGAATAATCCGCAAATTCGTCCAATGGTTTTGTTCTCACAACTGCAGTGTTCAAACGTGGATGCAATTGTTTGTACAGTACGACTTCAGTTAAAAAAAATGAAAGCTGTTAAATATACGTCAAACGCGAACGGTGTTTCCTTGTCGATTATCCACGCTATAATAGTACTGGCTTTCTCGTAACAGGGAAAACGATAGCGTACTTATTTTCATATAATAGTTCCCCGGACCACACGCGAAAGGGTGCGGACAGCTATCAATTTAAAAAGCCATCTGCAGCAAGATGGGCCTTCCCCTTCTATAGTGATGATGCAGCTCTAGCTGTTGAGTAAACAGTACGACAGGACTACAGCCAACGATATCAACGGTCACACCATTATGGTGTGGGTATTCATAACTTACTCATGCAAAGGAATGGCGCCATCTTCAGAGGTCACCCTATTTGCCCCGTTCGTGTAATCCAGCGCTAAGGGCAACTAGGGGAAGTGAGTATAATCTGCTGGATAGCTATTATTACTACTCAGCTATGACGCTCATTTTAAAAGCGTTCATTTTTTTAATTTGTCTGCAATGCGAGTTTACTTCTAATTTAATTAATTTAGTTTACAAGCAAAAACTAACTGATTTTTAAAAGGATATCAAATGTAAATACGAAATCAGTTGTTGCTATTAATTAAGGGTTAAAATGCGTTTTAGTTTCCACGCACGAAGCAAAGACAGCACTTCCAAAGCCCCCCCCCCGCAGATAGGCTTCTAGCAGAGGCGCCCAACGTATCTTGAATAAATTAATTTAATTTGTCGCGCACAAATGTCATTGGAACATTTCACTCATCTTAGCAAAGCAGAACATAATATAAAATCATTTATTAAGATGACCAAGAACTCCACCTCTAAACGGAGCGGTGGTTGTTTAGCCGGTCTCGATTCACTTTTGCATGAAGACTATGGTGACGACCATATTGGTCATCAATAAGTGTGCTCGGAAACGTTAATCGAGAAGTAAGCGCTACTTTATTTGGGATGTCTTTATACATGTACGTAATCGCGCGGAATACTGTATTACATCACGCACTCTAGGATCCAAAATTTAATAAGTCTATGAAGGACGCTGCGTCTACGCTTTGATTATCAGAGCGGTATACACCAAGTTCCTTTCGCTCATTTATCGGCGAGGTGTAGATCATCCTCAGCAGAAAAATACATAGCGAAAGGGTGACAAAGAGTAACAGTATCTTCTTTTTAATAACTGCAGTTCTACACCTAGATAAAATACCAAGATTCATACTTGTACTCTGTCAGTTATTGTCTTCTAGATTCCCAAAACTTGGCGTACGATTTCTCGTGTTTGGCAAGTTTTTTGGCCAGTTTCTTGCTTTGGCTCTTGCTGAGAGGTGCACCGTCCTCATGTGAGGGGAATCCGTCGGCATCGAACGTGTCGAATCGATCCGCAAACTCTGGCGCCTTCTGGAAGAACTGGGAGGGAGAGATCTGCATGAGAGCCTCGAACTCCTGCTGCTTCTGCTTCAGCGCGTGAGTCTTATTATCTGCTGTCGTCGCCTTGTCTTCCGTCTCTGCCTCACGCTCTGCACGCGAGAGCAACTTGAAGACGGAGCGTCCAGGTGCAAGGTCCTCGATCTGGATACCCAGCTGAGGCAGTTCCTCGTTCCGTAAGGCGTCACACAAGGCGAGTACACGAGCGTTTCCTGGCTGCTTGGGGTCTCGCAGCGCTTCCTCTCGCACTGACGCTCGGAACTGTAGCAACGAGCGGATCAACGCCTCTTGGTCGTCTCTACTCACCAGTTCATGCCTGCCATCCAGCTCGCGCTGTGTTTCTGGGTGCCCAAAGGCTGTAAACCGACGACGCAGCATCGCTGAGAACTCAGAGTGAAGTCCTTCCAGTCCAAAGAGCTCCAATACCTCCAGTACGTAGCCTGTCAGTGAGATCAGCACCTCGTCGGGAGCTCCCAAGTCGCCTCGTTGGGCCAGCAAGTAGGCGTTTCCACGAGATACGAGCTCCAAGACGAGAGACAGCGCGCGTGGGGTATCGAGATCGTCCAGAAGAGCCGCGTCAACCAGCGCGCGAGTCTCAAACAGCGCGTCCAGCAGCTCCAAATCCACTTGTTCGCAGCGCTTTGACTTGGTTTCCAGCGTCTCTGTATGACTGCTACTGGACATATCGTGGCCACTGCCATAGGCCACGACACTGCGGAAAAACCCTCGGAGACGTCCCGCCGTGGCTTCCGCATCACGCACACGGTCCTCGGAGTACACCAAGCTCGCGCGGTATTTGAACTGCAGACAGAAGAGGCGGAAATGGTCCGCTGTGTGTCCCTCGGCCAGGAAATCTCGCACCGAGATGAAGTTTTTCAGCGACTTGGACATCTTCCGACCGCGGATATACAAGTGGCCAAAGTGCACGAAATGATTGCACCATTTTTCGTCATGGCCACACTGAGGCCCGTGGTTGTGTGCTTCACACTGTGCGATCTCGTTGTTATGATGAGGGAAGCGGAGGTCCACGCCTCCCGTGTGCACGTCCAGCCTGTCTCCTAGAACGTGGTGCGTCATGGCGGAGCACTCGATGTGCCATCCAGGTCTCCCCAGACCCCACGGAGAGGGCCACGCCGGTTCGTCAGGCTCCTTCGCTGCCTTCCACAGTGCAAAGTCTCTCGGGTCTCTCTTGACTTTCTCCTCCTCTTCCGCCACGTCGCTCTCCTCGACTGCTGCCTCGGCTTCCGTTTGTAATTGCTCGTCTCGTTGTGTCTGTCGTCGAGGATCTAACTTCCCGTATTTGTCTCCTAATTGCCGAGTGTTAAAATACACCCCCGAGCCGTCTACTGCTTGATACGCAAAGCCTTTGTGTTGGATCTCTTCAATGTACTTTACGATCTCTGGGAGATGTTCACTGACTCGAGTGATTGCAGTGGGGGGCTTGACGTAGAGCCTGGCCATGTCGGCGAAGAACTGCTGCTCTTGTTCCCATGCCAGTGTGTGGAAGCTCACGTTCTGCTCCTTTGCACGTTTGATGATCTTGTCGTCTACGTCCGTCACACCCATGACGAGCTGCACATTGTAGCCGCCCGTGCGTTCTGCTACTCGCCGGAGAATGTCCTGACTTACGTAGGCTCTAGCGTGCCCCAGGTGCGCTTTGTCGTACACTGTGGGACCGCACGCGTACCATTTCAAGATGTTTGGGGTCACGGAGGTCCCTCGCGGAAACGGCTCGCACTCGCCTGTAAGTGCGTTAAACACCTTGAGATCTCGAGAGGATGAAGGAGGAGGACACGGCAGGGTGGACAGCCATCGTGAACTTAGCAACGAGAAAGGCGCACGCCGAGAGAGGCCTGCTGCTGGTAGCTGACGCAGCATTCGCATTGCCTACTCGTGTGGCTGCTGATTGTTTCAGCAATGAGGTTTGATTGGATAAAATCTAGAAATGATAATCCCCCATGTATCTATTGCTTTCTTTCCTAGGGGTTTCTAACCTCAAATAAAATTTGCTGAGTCCTTGTCCGAAAAAATAGCGACACATCAAAAAGAAAAATCATACTTGCAGTAAGTGCGACTTACTTATAGTATTCCGGACAGAGAAGGTATTAGTTCTTGAAAGACTCGCACGATCAATCTTTTTTATCTTAATTTTCTCTTTAAAATGTGCCTCAATATTTTCTGATTTTCAAAAACACTTTTTTTATTTTAGGGATGGGCTAATATTCTTAAGTACTTTAAAGACGGTGTCACACAGCATCATCGCACTACAAACTGGCGTATCTGCTGATGATCTAGAGCAATCCCATCTTTCGGGTCTCAATCGTTACTGGTACTAATAAAGGAACAGTGGCCACTGAGAGCTTTGCAAGCGTTCAAGCGTAGAGGGCATGGCGAAATTGACGGAAACTAGCACAGAGTCCAGGATGTAAATTATCCGGGCGTGATCGCTTCGCGCGTATACGCACACGACCGCGAAGGATGGAGAGTGCGAAAGTAGCGCGAAGTCGCTCGCTCATAGTGATCACTGCCTTTCGAGCTCAGAAAGGAAGGCTTTCGCCTTCCCTTCATGGTTTCATTTTTAGCCGTAACGGCTTCTGATGTGGTGGCTTTTTATTCGCCGGTGGAGCTTGCTGGTTTCTCGGCATATGGGTGATGATCCCTTTCTTGTAAGTGCCAAACGTGGTGCTGATGCCGCCAGGTTATGTGAGGCTTCCATCCGGAAGATGCCACCTTCCGAATCGGCTCAAACGGCTAGTAGGTCAGGTAAGGAAAGTTGGTCCTGTTCACGATGACTGAACGTTCGGAGGTTCTACCCGCGTTGTCGTAAATGGACGAGGTTTTAAACCAGATTGACTACCAGTGCTACCAAGTGTGACCGACGCCACAACACCTTGTGCTTAAGGAAGCTGGACTTTCAAGGGTATGCAAACTCCTCGTGAACGGCAGTTCACTTGTCCTTGCTCACATGAGACTAGGTAGGCAGCAAAAGGAAAGTTTTAGACTGGGCACGTTTATAAGTAGGTTAACCTTAAGCTAATACAAACTATAAGTAGTCTATAATGATCTACGTTGTGATCTAGTAAATGGCCCTTAGAGCCCCTGGTACCATGTACCAGGCTTCCTCGAGAGTGACGGGTCTCTCTTGATGTCGCGGGGCTGCACCACGGTGCAGATCCTCTCTTATCCACATCTATTTTCGTCCTAGTGGCGTATACGTGAGCAACTTCGGGATGATAGAGTGTACATAAATCAACCCTTCCGTGATACACATATCTAAAGTATTCTAAACGCACCAGAAATATTGATTTCCCAAAGAGCGCCCCACTGCCCTTAAGAAAAATAACTGTATTTGTTTGATATCATTTCTCGTAACAAATGATGAATCAATATGATAGAAGAATATAACACCTTGTGGCGCATCGCTCCTTACATTAAAAAATCAGAAAGCTTCCTCATTAACGTAAGCTATATGATTGCGAGTCGCGCAGTTTGTCTAGTTGAACTTTTGCAAAAGGACTCATTGAGGACTTAATCCGGTCCCTTCTTCTGCAAAAGCACATAACAGGCGCACCACGCGTCCTTATGTCAAGAAATGGTTAAATAGTAGTTGGACCTCAAATGAGTAACAGCAAAATGAAGTGATACCATCTTGAGTTTATCTGTAATAGAGGAAATTTACCGAATAGCCGAGAAAAGGCGGGTTTGTGTTTGCCAAGCTCACAGTCAATCAACAATTTGTATAAATGCGAACCTCGACACTACGATGCCAGAAGTACGGACTGAGTATTAGGTGGGCGTAATCTGGCAATAGAAGGAGAGGCGACCATCGCGTCTTCTACCAGAAGGCGAAGTGGAGAGACCAATGTAAGATCTCTGTGTGGAGAAGAAGCGGTAAACGAGAGCGTGAGATCGTCCTTAATCTTACTGCTGTAACGAAATGATTTTACTATACGACTTCGTTTCAGCCGAAAAAGAAGGTCCATGCGAACGTAAAATAAATTGCATGTTTAAGCATCTTTCACAGCTCAAACGACAAGACAGACTTTAAAAACGGATAAATAATTTTAAAAAGGTATATTTTAACAAGTGTTGTTGACGATTTAAGACGACCACGATTCGTAATCGCGTTATATCGTGGTCCATGAATATGAAGATCGCGACGAGCTCTGTCGAATGCGCTGCATACTCGAAGACCATTAATTCTAATTTTGTAATTTCGCTTTAGCGTTTTCTCAGTAAGTTCACAGGTTAGAGAATTTTGTTAGGAATGTATATGGATTGGTTAGAAATGTCTCTATCTAGAGAAAAGAATGTTTTTGAAGAATGTCTGACAATTTATCGTCAAGACAATAATCCAATCAGGCACTAAACTTAAAAAGAATTTTTTTCTTTTTTAAGTAGCTGCGTCCTTGACCTAGCTATTTGAGCTGTGATCCCAAGGGTTGAACTCTCACATTTTGTGCTCAGTGTAATCTGCAAAAAGACACGTGAGCCTAATGTATTGGTTATTCGAGATCGTACCGCATCCGTTTAAAACCAAGAGCGGAATTAAAGGCGGTATTGGTTCCTAAACGGCTAGTTCATTCAAGGTACCATTAGGCTATACTGACGGTGGTCATTCACGATTAAGGAGAAAAAAAGCAGATACGCTCAAGAGCATGGATATGACGATGAGCTGGCACTCTACTGATATTTAGAGCACATATAGACGAATTTCCAGGTATTGTGTACAGCTCACGAGCGATTTACATCCAGATACGATCGAAATCTTGGAGTTGCGTGCATAACGCCTTCCAGCTGCAATGCAAATCCGCGGTTGTTTGGAGCTGCATACATCAGTACAGCTACCCGATTTCAATACGTCAGCAGTAAAATAAGCCCCTACAGAATGCCAGTACAATATACCAGTTACAGTCTGACAGTACATGTAGTTTCGACGTTTTGCAAGGCATCTTAACATTATATTTACCTCACTGAAGACATAGACTAGACGGCGACCAGCATTTGATATTTTTGGGGCCGCATGAATCTGAAATGTGGAGAGCTACTTCTTCAGAAAAACTGTACTATACACAATAAAACCTCTTCTGCACCGTCCATTGGAAAGATGGCTGAACGCCGACGCCGAAACTTTACTGACGAGGAAGACCTCGCGCTTCTTCGAGAAGCACTGGGGGACCCTCCCTTTATTCAGCCACGAGGTAGCATACTGGCTCGATGGGACTCTCTGGCGACATCGGATGCGGACGACAGCTTCCCTCGAGAGAACCTAAGCGGTAAGACAGCTAGTGGGCGATTAGGCAAGCTCATTAAGGTTCATAGAGAGCATGATGCAGAGGCTGCAACTCTGTCCGGTGGTTCGGAGGAGGAGGAGAGCGAGAAGGTGATGCTGCTAGACGAGCTTATTGCTCTCATCGATGAGTGTACTGCTCGCACAACAGCTGCAAAGACGACAGAGGGTCTGAAACGTCAACGTGAAGAAGAAGCATTGCTGGCTGCACGACGTTTGACCATGGAAACACTGGCAGAGAGGACACCTCATCAAAACGACGCAGAGAAGTGGAACTAAAGGGGCTACTAACTGCCGAAAAGAGAATGAGATTGCGGACAAGACGGCCGAGCGAGAGGAGTTGGCGTTGCAGCGCGCCCGAGAGCATGAAGAGGACAAAATAGAGGCTTCACGTGTCCGTCAAGAAGGAGCGGAACATGTGTTGAAGCTCGTCAGAGCTGTAACAGAAAGCATATTGGAAATTATTAATGCCCAAAACCAAAAATAGTTCAATTACTCCTGCGCTTGTTGTTCCTGTAGATATGATGCTAGAGTAGGTAGTGATAAACCAACATATGAGCTAATTTAATTGTCTCTATAGTAGTAGCAGTGACAGGTTGACATCAACATACTAATAGCAGCGTGCTTACCAACCGGGTTAGGCTGAACTCGAAGAGATTTCTTAAAATAAATAAACGCCCAAAGTGTTTTGAGCTCCTTGAACTTCCACTCAACCGCCTCGCGAGCAGAACTCATTCTTGAGTTGAATTGCTACTCATTGCTTGACAATCCCACCTTCTTGAAATCAGAGACAATAAAGTTGCGTACCCCGTACACAGGATCGCCATATCTAGTGTAGCCACCAAAAATTGCTCTATTTGTCTCCAAATACTCGACAAATTTGCTCGCGTACAGCAACGTTATGTCGTGCCTCCGATCTTCGATAGGATTCCAAAAATGAATAGCCAAGCCATCTGGGGTAACTACTGCCTGGTAGTTTAAGTTATGCACTCTCTTGTGTCCTCAATGTACCTGCCTTTGCAGGCTCTCGTTACATCCTGGCCTAGAAGACGGTCGGCACACGGAATTCTTAGCGCCGTCAATGAACCCGAGCACTGACTCCATCGGCGCACCTTTACCGCGGACAGCTTCAGCATAGCGCTGAATACGCTCGGCGCACACGGCGTTGAAAGTATATGATAGCTTCGTATCTATCGTACAATTATGACACTTTACAACAGTTAGCGATATAAATCAAGTAAAAGCAGTAAAACAATAAATCATACTTACCCATATGCGAATGATACGACTGAGTTGGCCTTCATCATGTTGTACAACCTCTTTGGGTAGCTTAAACGATACAATAAAATGCACACAACTTCCGTGGAGGCACTTTGTCACGATCTCCAGTGACGACGTGTTCCGGCAGAGCGAAACAGCGGTTAGCGACAGCACGCCTTCTACCGAAAAGCGAAACAACAGCTCGCTGTCTGCATCATTCAGTACTGTAAGGTAGAGCCGTACAGCAGGTACGCTAAGAGCATCTCCACCGGTGGGGCTCTATATCTATATAGCGACTGAAGAGCTCAAATTGATAACTACTGGGGTTTCACCAGGCGTCTCTATCGCCAATTTTTTAGCTACCGGGGGGTTTCGGTCGCTATTTCGGACGCCATAGCGACTGAAATCTATAGGAGGTTGGATCACTTGCAAACGAACAATGCCTCGAGGAAAAGCTTGGTCGGACAAGGAAGACGCCGCCCTGTGCACGGCGTGGTGCGCTACCCAATCGCAGGGGCCGATCAGAGGGCGGACAACTTTGGACGCTAATCTGCAGTCATACTG